TTTGAAGCTTAATGAATTTGTAAGTTGTGAGTTATTCTCTTTAATCTTCTTCCTTGAATATTAATTCTTCCTTTAAATACTATTTCTATATCAATGTTGGGGAGTGTTACTAAGATGACAATTAGTTAACATCTTGACATTAGTTATAGTAATAGTTATTTCTTCCTCTATGTTAATATTGGGGAGTGTTAGTAAGATGACAATTAGTTAACATCTTGATATTAACTATAGTAGGATTCATCTTCTTTAATATTCTACCTTGAGTATTAATTAATTCCTATTCATATTTCATATTAATATTTTGAACATTACTTAAAGGATCAACTAATTTTGTTTCATATATTAATTATTACTAGAATCGATCGATGAATACGCTTGTTAATCGTTTGATCGTTTCACGGTAGTAAACTTGGGTTATTAATGCATGCGTTTCATGGTTAATAAACCAAGGGGAATTAATTATGTTGATTAAACCAATAAACCGCTTGTGTTGAGGTTATCAATCTCAATCGTTTTCATCTTGATTTTATTGCTACTATCGGGTTAATATATGGCGCGTGTTATATATTAACTCGGTAGTAAGTTTTATTAATGAACGCGTCTCGTTATTAATAACTACCCTCGATGAACTGGATATACTCCTCGATTGAGTATTCGAGAGGAAGATAGTTAAAGATATAACCGGGATCGATGAACATTTCATTAAGTGGATAAAAGCAAAACCAAGTCTTAATCTCAATTAATTAAATTCATATAAGTCGTTCATCTTTGTATTTAATTAAATTAAATCACTCAAATCTAACCCCCCCTTTGTTACTAGTTATATAAAAAGAGAAATATTCCTTTCCCTGTGGATACGAACCTTACTTCATTATACTACGTATAATTATTGTATTGATATTTATTTTGACTGCACACCACGACAAAGTGCTCGTCAAATTTGACGCCGTTGCAGGGGAAAGACAATTATTTTTCTTTTTATTTTATCTCATAAAAATAAAAACCAAAAAAATAAAAATAAAAATATAAAAAAAAATCTTACTCTTCTATTTTCTGAGCTTACATGAGTTATGAGTATATGGATACCAACACTTCATCCTTAGAGAGTCAAATTTCCTTCTTGACTTCTCTAATAAAGGAATATATCTTAAGCTTAGAAGCTCAAGATGCCAAACACATGCAACATCTGCATGTCTCACAAGCATTTTACAAATTTCTGCCCAAAGCTTCAAGATGAATACCTTGAACAAATGAGGTATGATCCGGTCTCCAACTCTAACATGTCTACGGAGGACATGATTCGGGCTATTGCTACCAACATGACTACCATGCAAAACAACATGGTGCAATTCCAAAATGAGACCAAGTCTAGCATTTTAAACTTGGAAACTCAAATGAGTCAAATAGCCGGAGCCGTGAGTAGGCTTGAGCAAGGGATTCGGGAAAACTTTCCTCTCAAATAGAATGTGATCCTAAACAGCAAACTTTTGCAATCACATTGACAAATGAGAAGGAAATTCAAAAGGAAGAGGTAGAAGAGGAAAGAGACATGGAGCTCCAGCTGGTCAAGGAAGAGGATGAACCGAGTTTCCAGGTCAAATATCTATCCTTATCATTCTTTGAGGTACCCCCATCAGTTCTAAAAACTTTGAGGGAAACTCATAAAATTGAAAAGGAGAGTGACATTTTTGAAATCCTCGGAGAAATTGAGGGATCGAAACATTTTCCATTGACCATGTTAAACGATAATTTCTCTCCCTCACTCTCACCACATGAATCGATGAAAATCTGGGTATTTGACCCTGGAAAGATTTTCAAAGTGAAGAGTCGAGAAATTGAGCATTTCTATGGAAGTCCTAGGAGTGAACGTGTGAAGAAGATAAACTATCACGATCCAAGTTTGAATGACTGAACACAATGATAGCGTCGTGCCACGACGTTAAATGAGGCGCTTCTTGGGAGGCAACCCATGCAAGGTATGTTTTCTCATCATTTCATTTCAGTTGAGTGTGTGTAAAAAAAAGGCCTGGGGATTGAACCCGGTCGGGTATAAAACTCAACCCGGTCGGGCCCCTTCATAAAACACAGCACCTGGCCGAATCACCCGGGCGAGGCAGTTGTGGAATAGAGGAAAAATGAACATACCCGACCGGGCAACTTCAATACACCCGGCCGGGCATGTTCATTAAAAACATTCTGGATAAGTGGGAGTTAGGCCCGACCGGGTCAACTTACCCCACCCGGCCGGGTCATTGCGAATTCTTGCACAGACTGAGCTGGCCATCCTCTTCCTCACTTCCTCTTCTGCAAACACGAACCAAACTCCGCCAAAACACCATTTTCAAACTCCATACATTTGAATCCTCTCCATTTCTACACCAAATCCATCAAAAAAACTATCCTCTTCATCTCCTCTTCACCCTCTACACCCACCAAAACACCCACAACCCACCAAAAATTCAAATCACCCTACTCCACAAACAACAAACGCCGAAATTTCCTCAACCAAAAAGAAAGAAATGACACCAAAAAGGGGAAAGAGATTCATTCTCTTGGACATCTCGGACACAAGAACTAGGGACAGTGCTTTGATTAGCTTGGGGGGAGAATTTCATGGAAAACTCACATTCATACTCGATATTCTTGAGTTATTTAAAAAAAAAACATAAAAAAGAAAAAAAAAACTTGTTAAGTTGAAAACCTGAAAAGGAAACTTAAGCAAAAATAAAACGAAAATAAGAGTGAGTTGTGAGGATTGAAACAGAAAAATGTGGGAAGCTGGGATGAAAACCCGAAAGGGCACCTAGGCAAAATGAGAGAATGAGAGAAAATATTTTCTTTTATTTCTGTAGGATCCTAAGGGTAATGATGAAAAAAAAATGAGGTTGATAAGAAATATGGAGATGAAGACCCCCTCTTTACTCTTATATTTTTGGGGATAATTTTTGTGTTCTAAAAACACACTTGGATGGTTGTTTTGATACTCTTGTCATTTCGAGAACTTCTTGGACACAATTTGGTTTACTCGAGACGAGTAATGGTTCAAGTGTGGGGGTGTTTGATATGCACTAATTAGTAGTGCATAAATGCATCTTTTTATGTTTGATTTGTGTGGATTGTTTACCCTTTTATTTAGTTTGTAAACATTTGTGTGATTTTAGTTTTAATTGTATTTTAGTTCTCATTTGTAAGTTGTAAAGTAGAGTTAGGATTTATGATGTTGGAAAGGAAGACTTTGAAGTGAAGAAAAATGATTATTGGCTGCCTAGGACAATCACCCGGTCGGGTGAGGCATTGCACCCGGGCGGGTGAGACTTGAAATGTGAAACTGCTCAGGAAATTACATCACCCGGTCGGGTGAGGTATTTCACCCGGTCGGGTCTGACTTGACCCGGGACATTTTAACGTGCTGAAACACAAGAACGTGGAAGATTATCTGATTTTGACATGCACCCGGTCGGGTGGGCACTTGACCCGGTCGGGTACCCGGCCCAAGGTGTTGAAAAACACCTATAAATAGCACACTTTTTCTTCACAAATAATAATCCCTTCTTCCATACTCTTAAACTCAGTTTAGAATAGTATTTCTTTTATATTTTTATAGCATGTTTAGTCTCCAAATGAGGAGCTAAACTCCCATCTTGGTTTTGCTACTTTGAAGCTTAATGAATTTGTAAGTTGTGAGTTATTCTCTTTAATCTTCTTCCTTGAATATTAATTGTTCCTTTAAATACTATTTCTATATCAATGTTGGGGAGTGTTACTAAGATGACAATTAGTTAACATCTTGACATTAGTTATAGTAATAGTTATTTCTTCCTCTATGTTAATATTGGGGAGTGTTACTAAGATGACAATTAGTTAACATCTTGATATTAACTATAGTAGGATTCATCTTCTTTAATATTCTTCCTTGAGTATTAATTAATTCCTATTCATATTTGATATTAATATTTTGAACATTACTTAAAGGATCAACTAATTTTGTTTCATATATTAATTATTACTAGAATCGATCGACGAATACGCTTGTTAATCGTTTGATCGTTTCACGGTAGTAAATTTGGGTTATTAATGCATGCGTTTCATGGTTAATAAACCAAGGGGAATTAATTATGTTGATTAAACCAATAAACCGCTTGTGTTGAGGTTATCAATCTCAATCGTTTTCATCTTGATTTTATTGCTACTATCGGGTTAATATATGGCGCGTGTTATATATTAACTCGTTATTAATAACTACCCTCGATGAACTGGATATACTCCTCGATTGAGTATTCGAGAGGAAGATAGTTAAAGATATAACCGGGATCGATGAACATTTCATTAAGTGGATAAAAGCAAAACCAAGTCTTAATCTCAATTAATTAAATTCATATAACTCGTTCATCTTTGTACTTAATTAAATTAAATCACTCAAATCTAACCCCCCCCCCCCCCCCCTTTTGTTACTAGTTATATAAAAAGAGAAATATTCCTTTCCCTGTGGATACGAACCTTACTTCATTATACTACGTATAATTGTTGTATTGATATTTATTTTGACTGCACACCATGACAAAGTGCACGTCATGTGCTGAGATCTGTGTTGGTGTCACCAGTTATAATCAAACTGATGGTTACAACTCAAGAGACACAGAATGTTGTGATATATGCTTATGACCTGTGTTGGTAGTTTGTTAAGCTGTCAATGATGAAAATAAATGGCCTTTTCTGAAGTAGAGGATATTTGCAAACATTAAATTGATCAATGATGCAATAGTGTGGTTCTATACGTGTCCTGAAGTCTGTATTAGTGTCACCAGTTATAACCAAACTGATAGTTACAACTCAGGACACCCAGAATGTTGTGATATGCGCTTATGATCTGTGTTGGTAACTGATAGTTAAGCTGTCAATGATGAAATTAAGTGGTCTTTTCTGAAGTAAAGCATATTTGTAAACTGTAAATTGATCAATGATGCACTTGTGTGTTTCTATTTTTTTTTTGTAATTAAAAAAGGGGAAGGAAATTACATAGAAAACATGAAAACAAAAAATAGATAAGTGCCCAACTAAGCAAAAAAAAAACAAGAAAGAGATAAGTGCCCAACCCAAAAGATAAATAAAATCCACCCTAGGAAAAGCAATGAGTTCCCTCAGGTCATCCAGAATAAAGATGTGATTGAGATCTTGTCCTCATGTGACGCGATCGTTGGTACTTTTTCCTGTATATCTTCATTTGAGTGTTGAGATTTTGTGTGGACAAGCAGTTTTCCTTCGTCATCAGACGAGCCTTGCTGCAAGGGTCCTGATTTGTGTCGGAGATTTAAAACCAGTTTGGATGGTGAAAATTACGGTATGCCTTAGTGTGGAAGCCATGAGAATTTGGCCGCCATCGGTCTGGTGATTGCCTGGCAATTGAATCCAGCTTGTTAATTATATGCCCATTAGTTGTCAAGTTGGCCGGTAGTGAGATGAGCGCCTAGAGGTGCAGTCGGAACCACGTTACTGCCCGGAGCTGGTCACTGTCCGCCGCCTTATTCTGCTTGTGTAAACTCTGAGCATCTCCAACGTGGGGGTCTCGTCGTTGCTTGGGGAACAAATCCGGCCTGATGCGTATATCCGAGATCTGCTCTTGCCACCCTGTGATACTGACTGTGAAAGAGCCGAATCTAATAGAGTCACCAACGATTGGATGGTTGGACGAAGAAACGTCAGAAGGTGGGGCATCCTTAGCATCATTCTTCTGCGCCGTTGTGGATGCTCGAATTTCCGGCTGCGGCGCCATCCCTCCCCAAGTGTCGTCTTCCTGGTGTGGTTCTATTTATGTGCTGAGATCAGTGTTGGTGTCACCAGTTATAACCAAAGTAATGGTTATGATTTAGGAGACCCAAAATGACCGGGCTAAACTTGCAAGTGTACAAGTGCCGATATAGTAATAAATTCCGGTAAAATACCGGGTCGAATCCACAGGGAAACGTTGTTTAATTTAGTCCGCGAGTAGATGACTTTGAATAAGTAAATGAGTAAAGTGCAGGGATTTTGAGTTGTGTGTTGTTGTGAAAACAACAACTTGGTTCTTCTTTTTAATTTTCAGAGATATAACTTGAATTAATTTGATTAAAGTGATTGATAACAACAACTAAGGCTTCGGGAATCACTTAAATGCTTTAATAGGGTTGAATATTAGTTCTTTACCAATAATGAATACCGGATATATTTCTATTCTCGGTAATATATATGTTTATCCTTTAATGTTCATAGTTTAGACTTCAACGTTAATTGCAAGCATAAACTAAGTTTAACATACTTCTATGTTGTACACCATAGTCATAAACAATCAAAATGTAAAGGATAAATCACAATTTATTGGTTTAGAACTTTTATCAAACACCTAATGGGCATAGAAGTTCATCCCTAGCCTTAGCTAAGAACTTAGCCTCTAATGCTCATATTAATTACAAAAGTGTAACTAAGAACAATGAAATACAATAAAATACAAGAAATAATACCTAGAACCAATTGTAGAGGAAAGAAATGGCTTCTTCTCCAACACTTCAAGAAAATGCAAAAAGGAAATATAAAAACTGAATTTTAATCTCCAAGAATTAATGGAATGATGATCTTGTTTGATGAATTGGGGGCTTTATATAGGCTAAAGATTGACATCTTTTAGTCTATTCGAGCCCAACAATCAAGCATGGAAGATATATTTGATTAGCTCATGAGGAAGGTGAGTTTTTTCCATCAAAATATTTCAGCACGTTGTTTTGTATTTGCAGGATCAGACCTACCCGGCGCCGGGTTCAGGCCTACCCGGTGCCGGTTCTTCATTGTGCGCAGGGAAATCTGAAATTTTGACATACCCGGCGCCGGTTATAAGGCCTACCCGGCGCCGGGTAAGCTACTGGTTTGTGTACATGTGAAAATCAAGAAACGGGCGCCGGTTTGGTGCAAATTCCGGCGCCGGCTTTGTCCTGGGATTTTGGGGATGTTCCGCTACGAATTTGGACATGATTCCTTCACCAAAGTTGTAGATAATGAAGTCTTCTATCCAACAAAACTTGAATGACATGATTTTATTCAGCCAATCAAGAGATATGGATAAAACACTGAGAGGTATGCATCCTGAAATCCCACCAGCAACATCTGACTTTGTTGGTTGATTGAGTCTTGTTCCTTTCATATTTTGGTCATCACGTCTTCATAACATTTGTACCTTATTGAGTTAGTATTCACATGAAACTCGAATCGAGTGATTTCGAGTTCTATAGAATACGTTATACTCAAATTATGGGCAGAACGTCATTCTCTTGGTCCAAAAAGTCGTTCATCGCAATGTTTTATGATCTAGCTCTCATTCTGGAGGTATTTGCCCGATTTCTCTTCTTTTCTTCAACAAATACTTATAAATACTTATGTTAAACACAAGTAAATATAACGGCTATCACAAAATGATGTGATAGTTGCTTATGATCTGTTTTGGTAGTCTGTTAAGTTGTCAATTGATCAATGAAAGTAAAAGGACTTTTCTGAGACTGTAACACCAACAAATAAGCTGCATCTATACTCAAAATATAATGCATTTATACTCAAAATATATTGCATCTGAACTAAACTGTATTAAAAAATGCACAATACAACTTGTATCTGCACTCAAAACATAATGCATCTATACTAAACAATATACAAAAACAATGCATCTGTACTAGACTGCATTCAAAATGCACTGCATCTATACATGACATGGTGCATTTATATTCAAAACATACTATATACTAAATAGTATTCAAAAAACAATGCATTTATACTAGACTACATTCAAAATGCATTGCATCTACACATGACATGGTGCATCTATATTCAAAACACACTGCAACTTAGGGATGTCAAAAAAACCGACCCGCAATGACCCGCCCTGGCCCGAGACATTTGGGGCGGGTCCGCCCCGCCCCGTCTTGCAAATGGGGCGGGTCCGCCCCGCCTATACAATGGGGCGGGTCCGGGTATTAGAATTGACCCGTGCCGCCCCGACCCGCCCCGACCCGACCCGCTCAATATATAAGTATACATATTTTTTCTTAACTTATACTACAATATACTTCAACATACATATGTGTGTATACAATAAATCATAAATTCTTTGATCTTATAATATATAAATAAGTATATATTAGAATGAGATGGATGACGGATTATCAATGTCTTCTTTATATATAGAATTTTAATACATTATTCAATTATTAATATAACTAATTAGATTAACTATTCAAGTTTGAGTAATTTTTCCTTGATTTTTGAAATTTTTAGCGTATCATGAATTTGATTTAATATATTTATTTTTAATTATTATTTAGAGATAAACATTATGTAGATTCAATTGGTAACAACTTCCCACAAATAAAATTACAAACTAGCTAATTAGGTTGCGGCGGGGCGGACCCGCCCCACCCCGCCCCGCATGGGGAGGGTCATGGGTCAACAAGTTTGGACCCGTGCAGGTCGCGGGACGGGGCGGACCCGCCCCGCCAAGTCACGGGGCGGGTCCGGGTCTTGCAATACCCACCCCGCCCCGACCCATTGCCATGCCTACTGCAACTATAATGATGAGTATTCAAAACTGAATATTCACATATGAACAAACCTAGTTCAGACTCACATACAACATGTGAGCCCCCGCCATTTAAATTATCCAATGTTTCTTCAATTAAGGCTGCATCAGGTGCAACACATGCAAGTAAAATTCTTGTTTGGTAAATCTTTTCTTTCCAATATGTGGTATCTTGTACACATTGCTCCCCTTCACCCTCATTATTTCAATCATACAACATTGTAGAGTAAGCCACACATCATTCAAAGATTTTGCCTCTAACTTTTCAAATGCATCTTGAACACATATAACCAATTCAATAACTGTTTTTTGGGCAGACTCATGTTGCAATGACTGGATGGCATTAAAAAAACCTAGATCTAGAACATTTAGATCAGGACTGTTTAAGGGTTGACATGTTAAATGAATGTCAAACCCATCAGCTTATGCAAATGCCTTAAAATCTAGGTCAGATGGGTTAATGTGAGGTTTGACATTATCTTGTTTAATAAAAATAGTTTTGTTTCCATGAATAGGCCACTTAGATTTAATAGATGGCACCACTTTTTACTGTGAAAGGGAAAATCTCTATTTTCCCATTGAATAATACCTTTTCATTTGGACCAAATCTTGGTCAAGCCACACCTGCCAAGAACATCACTTTTGTAATGAACCTTTTGGATTTACAAGTCGTGACCGGGTCTATTTCAGCAGGGTGCATGTAGTATTTTTTGAGTAGTTTTACTTAAGAAAAATCATTTCTCATCTATATGAACGTAGTTGTAGAATACATCAAAGGTTGGGGTTAATCCAATACTTCTAGGGTTCAGTTCGAGTAGACATAACTTTAACCTTTTTTTCAAATTTTCCTTAGTAAGAAATGGCTTATTGCACTGCTATGTGATTTGATTTCAGATCTTTGCACCAACATGTGCACTTGTGACTTTGACATTTCAAGAGACTTTGTTAGGGATCTAATGTTTGTTTTTTTGTGTAGAGGAATATCAAGCAATTTTGTGATCTCCAACGGACCAATCTGCCTAGGTCGGCCTTTGTACTTGGCCTTAACATCAATAGGAATTTTCAACAGTAGAAGGTTCTTCATAACATTCCAAATGAAGCTAACAGACTGCCTTGAACAAGAAAACTGACCAACAAGAACAGAAATTAAACCCCTAAGCAGCTTCCCATTGACAGAAGAGACTAATAAAATCTCTGCAATTCGAGTTCTATCTTCTGAGTTTAATTTTTTTTGTGTTCATTGAGAACTCCTGAGTGTAGGCTTTTTATAGAGACTTAATATTGTATGGCTTGAGAGACCTATATTAAGGTGTTTGTGAACTGCTGTAATGGATTCATCTTTTAATTTGAGTTGAAACTTATAATTTGTGTTGATGTTTTCCCTCTTAAATTTGTGTTTCCCTCCACTTTTGTACTCCGTATTTCCCTCCCACTTGAGCTAAATTAATTAAAATGGGGGAGTTAACAGCCGCATGCAGTAAAAAAATCAACTCCCACTGCCTGGTACTGCTCACCTGTCCAGTCAGTGGGAACTACCCCCCATTTCAGTAGATTAACAGGGTCCAAAGAGGGCCAAAGGGTATAAAAGGGCTTTCATATTCCATTAATTGGTATTCTTAAACTTCGTGCCAAAAGCAAACAATCAGTTTGTATCCGGAACGGAGGGAGTATGTAGGAAGATTAATATATTAAATTTCACTAAAGTTCACTAAAATTAGTTCAATTAATATTATTGATTAATTAAAATCAATACGTTAACGTCATTAACCATTTGTAACTAACATTTGAATCCTAATAATTCACAATAATAACATTTTCAACTGTAATTCTAAAAATACACAATAAATTAACTAACATTTATATTAAGTGAAATTGAAAAATTCACAATAATAATTCATTGAAATCCTAATAATTTACACTAAATTAATGTTTAAATCCTAACTTAAATCATTATAAATCCTAAATTAAAGGCATTAACAATAATTGATAAAATTTAGTATATATATTTCTAAACTATTTTCAAATAATCATTCACTCATATATTTTATATATTGGTTTATAAACATTTTAATTAACTAAAAATGTAAAAGGCCTTTTAATTGAATTACTATTATTACATAAAACTCTAAAAGGTATTGACTAAAAGGCATACACAACCCTAATATTTTTATAAATCCATTTGAATTAACTAATATTTAAATTAAACTAATATTATCATTTGATATCCTAAATTAACGATATTACCAATAGTTCAAAAATTAATATATATTTCCAAACGAATTCCAAATATATGCCCAATAAATTATACTCCCTCCGTCCCCTTTTAAATGTCCCGTTTTACCATGTTGGGATGTCCATATTTAATTGTCTCATACCTTATTTGGTAAAGTTTGTGTGGCTCAAAATCATTCTTACTTTATTCTTACTTTATCAATTAATATCAACCACACAAACTCACTTTTCTGATCTTAAAACTCGTGTCACCTTCTTCCGGGACATTTTAAAGGGGACGGAGAGAGTATTATACATTTATACATCACTAACATTTGAAGTTAAATATATTTTTAATTAATTAATAACTTCAGTAACTATTTTAATTATTTAATAAGGTAATAAATTAATATTTAGCATTAAAAAACACATGAATTCAAATGACATACCTTATCTGGTATAAGGTATGACAGACATTATAGGTAGGGAAGATGACATAAGATTACATCTTTCAATCTTTCACCAGATACTGTATCATACTCTGATTGAATTTAAACTGGTATGAGTCAAATGAAACTCTTCTTGCATATATAAAACACTATGTCACATATTCTTCCGTGACAACCACTATTCGTACAACATTAACGCAATGACCGTTGGGGTGGCAATTATTGAGACTTATCACGGATTTATCCGAGAGAGAAAAAATTGTCACGGGTTTGGTCCATTAGAAAGCACCGGATTAAAAAAAAGTACGCCGACGTATGTTTCTGCTCACCGGAGCTCCTTTGTCCTGGATATTGTCACAGAACAATTCTGTGTCAAAAGTTTGTCACAGATTTGGTTCGTGACAAATGTTTTTGGTGACATGAGAGATATATCTGTAACAAAATCCGTAACAAACTTGTCACGGAAGGAAACAGT